TTGAGCATGCATGGGTATGAAATATGCAAGATCTCATTCCATGCGATACAAAAGAATAGGAAAAGAACGACTGCGGACCCTCGTGAGGCAGCCTATTGCATTGAGTGTTTACCTTCCGGTGCTGCTGCTTCAGCATACTTTTATCTACCTGGACAGGAAGGGGCTATACCTATGGCGGCCTCCATAGTCCATGCCTTTATAGAAACCCAAAAGGCGGCGATTTTTAGTATGAGTTAAGCACTTTGCAAATAAATGTTGAGATTTTTTTTAAATGATACAAAAAAGTAAACTATGCGAATATTTTTTATATTATATAATTTTTTTAAATGTCACGAACTGATGTTTGAAAAGTTTTAACAATTTTTAAATGTAATGTGCAGTTTTTGGATGGTATGGAACATTTATTTGATTTATATGAACATTTATTTATGTTTTATAACATTTTTTAAAGGTAACATGTATTTTTTAGACGCGTGAACATTTTTAAAAATGGCACATAATTGTTTAGTGGTACAAATATTTTCTAAATGTTGAGCGAGCATTGTTTACACCGCATGAACATTTTTAAATGTGTGGTAAATTCTTTGACAATTCAAGTAAATAACTTTTTTTGTACATATGTACTTAGTATTTCCAGAATAATAAAAGTAGAAAAAGTGCATTACATCAACATGATGAACCCGCATGGTTAGTGTGCCGACCCACTTTCGGCTCCCTCTAGTCGAGCCGAGCTATTGTCTCGCGTGAAGCAAGACATAGCCCCACCCACCTTCATACGCACCCATTGATCCTCCTGTGATCCGAGTATCACCAGCCACATCTGAGTTCTGACTGAAGGTTAGGGCCAGGGTGCCGATCGGCTTGATATCATCATCACAGGCTGGGCTTGACCCGTAGAGGTGCTGAATTCGGCACTAGTGTTATTGGGTATGGGCCTCTAGCTGCGCGCCGACTATTTCTCACATTAAGCGAGCCCGTAGGAAACTCCCGCGAAAGGGTGTAGAGTAGTTGAGCCGGCCCAGTTTCGCACACAGTTAAACGAAAAAGGGAATGGCAAAATGGGAGAAACGAGGATCGATCTCCAGTGTCTTGCACGCAATAAGTTCTTGACGCGATGTGTACATGAGGCAAACGATGTCGGGTTTTTCATGGTTTTCATGTTTTTTCTGTTTTTTCTTTTTGTTATTTGACATGGTTTTCTTTGTTTTTTTATTTCCATTTTAATTTTCACCTCTTTCTTCAGTTATTTTCATATCCTTCTTCCCTCGGTTTATTTTTTCTTTTTTGGTTTTCATTTTTTTTGTTTCTCTTTGTTTTTTAGTCAACATTCTTATATACATGATCAACATTTTCTCAAATACTCATTCAATATTTTTTAAATACTTTTTCGACATTTTCCAAATATATGTTCAATATTTTTATATACATGATCACCATTTAAAAAAAATACTTGGTCAACATTTTTCAAATACCTGTTCAACATTTTTATATACATGATCAAAAAAAAATTCAAATAGCTGGTCGTCTATCGCTATGGGCCTATCCGGTGGGAATTTCCTCGTCAACAGGTTTTTCTATTTCCAAAGAGAATCATGCGGAAAAAACATGCAGGCGACAGAGCAGCACACCACACCGTGGCACACGGGCAGGCAAGCGAGCACCACGGCGCGCGTGCACCAGCCACTCCCACCGCGATCCACCGGATCGCAACCTCCGCGCGGAGGCCACCGGCCACCGCCACCAGCACCACCCAGCAACTTATAGAAACCCAAAAGGCGGCGATCTTTCCCGGCCAAAGCGATCATAATTGGGGAGCTTTTCCATGATCCGCGATAACTAAAGCTCGCGGGCGAGTGCGCGACGAGCCTGTCAATTTCTGTCCAGACGCTCGCGCTTAGCTGAGCTCAACTACCCTGCCCAGGTAGGTGCCGGTGCCGGTGGGTTCTAGCTAAGCAAAACCCCATGACTAATGATTGCGAGCTCCTTATTTCCAAATCCACCCCGCAGTTCTTGTCTGAGAGAGCGGAACAGTAGATCGGAAGTTGACTTGGAGTGAGTGGGCGGTGAATGGGCTGACCTCTGGGCGCCCAGGTGTCGTCCCATGGCATCAGCACGCCACGGCTCCGAAACACACCCGCGATCTGCTGCTTGATGAGGATATTTCTGCACCGTCTCTGCACCGACCTTGTGGAAGGAACGCACAAGTCAGAAGCTTGCGGTTGCGATGTCACGCAACCTGTGCTGTGCTAATTTGTTCCAGAAGCAATCGGAAGCTTCCATAAGCCTTTGAGACCGCCTCCAGTAACGTGTTGCCATGATCGTGAGGACTGAGGAGTATCTACCCGGAAGACATAATCAGACTGATGCAAACATCAAGCCAATAGCATCAACGATTGCGGTACAAATTTCCGTCACCGGAACCAACAGACACCTCTGCCGATCAACTACTCCGTAGACCATGAACGGCTCATGACGACATGTATATATATAAAAAACGAACGTGATCGTGTCAGCCCTCCACTGAGACACTAGATCCGGCCCTTCATAATGCCACCCAGCATTCAATTCCACCCACATGACCTCGCTGCTAAAATATATACAGATCCATCGCAGAATCTCAATCTCAAAACACAAAACAATTCTGTGATAATCTGACACGCAAATAAATGAACTAGTATACACAGACACATGAAGCTTTTTTTACAGCATGCTCAGCTGACAGGCACCAATACAGTTGCCCACATGTCAGCGGAACGGAGCCCCTATCCGGGCCCCAGATTCCTTCTCCAGTTTACAAGTAAAGCTAAAGGGGGGCAAATCCCCGAAAAAAAATGGCCTCTGAGGAATCTGGGACGAATGGCCGGAATATGCGGGACGGTGGTTGGCCTCACCTGAAGCGGCCGCCGTCGGCCAGCTTCCAGGAGCGGCAGTGGTGGAGGGAGGAGCCGGAGGAGGGCTGGTGGAGCGGCGACGGCCGGAGCTCGCCGGACAGCGCGGGGGCGTCCGGAGGGTGGCCTCCGCGGTGGTGGTTCCGCGCCGGGCTGGGGCGGACGAGCGGGCTGATGCACACCGCGAAGCCCGACACGCCGGCCCCGGCGCCGCCCAGGAGGCGACGGCAGGGGGTCTTCCGCATCGGCGACGGCCGCCACGGCGAGTCCGCCACCGAGCCGCCCTCCTCGCTCTCCTCGTAGGAGCACCGCACCGGCGAGAGCCCCCGGTTGCTGATCACGCGGGAGGAGCGCCGCGGGGACAGCGGCGACTCCGTCGCCGGCCCCTCCTTCCGTCGACCGCGCGCGCGCGGCATGATCCCCGCGAGCCAAGATCCGTGCCTCCGCCCCCCGCCCTTCTCCTCCGATGCGTCGTGCCGGTGCTGGCGGTGACCGCCGAAGAGCGCGGCGAGGGCGGAGAGCTTGCTGCTCCGCCTCCGCCTGATCTGGAACCCGATGTCGCCCTCCTCGAAGCCGGTGCCGGGCCCGACCTGGGGCGTCCGGAAGAAGAGGCGGCTGGACGGGTGGCGCCACGGCCCGGGCCCCGAGGCGGCGTCGGACTTGCGGGGGCAGACGTAGGGCGACACCGACCTCGGGAAGAGCGGGACGGGCTCCGGCAGCGGCGTCGGGGGCAGCGAGGGCGCCTGGTTCTGCTTGGCGGCGAGCGCGAGCAGGCGGCCGCGGAGGCAGGCGGCGCACACGCCGACCGCGCTCTCGTAGGGGTGCGTCCGGCACCTCATGGCTCCCTCCTCGCCGCTGCCCTGCGCATTGCCGTCCCTGGCTGGACTTGACGCGGTGGTGTGACGGGCCCGGGGAGGGAGGAGCGGGGAGGTCTTGTAGGCTGGCAAAGTGGAGTCGGGGGTAGTTTTCAAATGGGTTTGTTTAGGGCGGAGGGATGCGTCTGTGGGAGTAATTTAGTTGGGTTTTCTCCGCTGATCAGTCGGGCTGATTGGTTAAGAGCGAGTATCCTAGTCGGATGTGGACCGCCCTATCGATCTGTCGATCTGTGATGCTACTCCACTGTAGAAGTGCTATCTACTCCACGCACTGTCGTCTACCGCTAAAGTAACGTAACCGAGCTACCACTGTCTTGGCGTAATCGGTCTAGTAATAGTAGGGCCTTAATTTTTCTGAAGAATTTTTTTTTAAAAAAGCTGAACACCTGGTCCTGGGGCCTATTTGACTCGCAGGATTCTAAAAACACAAGGTTGGGGATAATGAAAATTGTCTATATAGGATTTAATCATGTGAATCAAGCCAATATGGGGAAAAAATCCTCAGGATTCTAATCTTCTAAATGTAATCTTTTTTAGGGATTTTAGTACAAACTACAGACAGATGTACATAGACGTATTTTTAGGGTGTAGCTTAACTCATTTTTGCTTCGTACGTAGTTCATATTAGAATGGAGGGATCAAGGGCATCTCCGGCGCCAACCCTCAAACCTCTTGCATCCGTTTGGACCGTGCTGTCAGGAGCACGAAAGCCATCCAACGCGGTCCTGTATCGGTCCGCGAAGCAGTATAGACTTGATTTCTCCCGCAAATTAGAGACAAATTAAGGGGAGGTTTGCGGAAGTTCGGACAGCAGACACGTAGGACTCCGACACCCCCGGCCCACCCAATCCCCTTCCGGTCCCATTTTCTTCCAGTCCTTTCCTTCTCCCCATTGCTTTGCATCTGCACCCTCCACCTCAGCCGCCGGTGTTGTACGTCTTCGACCGCCACAAAGGCATTGTCGGACATCCGCAACTAGCACCGACGCGCCCCGCTCGCCTTTGCGACAGAGCTATCCACCCTAGAGCCGTTTGTACCAGGTACACTCTGCCCCCTTGTCGACGACCTCCATGGCAGGCACCTCGCCCGGCAGGTGTTCGATGAAATGCCATTGAGCTTATTTTCAAAGCTATGTCATTCTTTAGAGTATGAAGGATGGTGAGCTACTCGGCCATGGAGGATGAGTTGCTGTGCGAGACATGGTTGGCCGTATCCGCAGATTTCGTAGGCAAGAGCAGAGGGACGATCTTCTAGGAGCAAGTGTATGAAAATTTCACGTACGAAAGCACATTGCGCGCTACGACATGTAAATCATTCAACAACGCAACGTGAGGTCGTTGTCGTATCGCTGGTACACAATTTAGACAAGCGTCACCAAGTTGTGTGGCGTGGTTCGTCACCTCGAGGCAAGGTGGCCATTGCACACGGCAAAGGACGAAACTTGTGGATTGATTCATTCACTCAATGTTGGTCTACACATTATATGTAGCCCGCATGCGCTGCCGTGGTGTACCACATGATAGAGAGACGGTTATTTACGTGCACACACTGTTGGGTGAAGATGATTGTTCATCCGTTGATGAAAAACTTGTTAGACATCCGGTTAATCCAGGTGAATTTGGACATTGATGTACTAGAATTAATTTGCATGCTATGTATTGACGATTTGTGCTATTTTTTTATCCGAACTTTAATGAATATCATCCGGTTTGCAGGAATTTCATCTGGGTAGATAAATGCGGGTTAAAATATATGCAGCTAGCTTATGAAGATGATTTGAATAGAGGAGCCCGTGGTTTTCTCGGGACGTAGCGGTCTAGTGGATTTTATGGACCCCTCCTGCTAAAGCTGCGTTTGACCGGGACGTTTTGGACAGTCTCGTGACCCGACTTGACACACTCCTATGTACTCTCGAAAGCACGCGGTATACTTCCAAGGAGTAGTGTACCGCATGTTCGTTTTCGGATAAGGAAGATACTACTACTCTCTTCCGGAGCGGCAAACGTACACGTGAATCCCTTCATTTTTCGGGCGGGTGTTGCGTAGCGGCCCATTCCGCTCGTCACGTTCTTCCCCTGACGCCACCGGCCACTCGCTCCGGCCACCCACACGCCAACACCCTCGACCATCGCCCACTGGTGCTACGTTACTACGTTGACCGGGCCAGGAGGAGAAAAAGCGACGCGTCCTCTTCACTTCACGTGCCCTCGGCTTCGGGTTCCAGAAGCAGCAGCTGCTCTGGATCTGCCCTCTTGGCAGCAGCGCGTGCGCTGGGCGAGGCAGAGTTCCACGCGGGCCAGGTCAGTGCATGCAGCAGCACAGTTATCACGGCCTCACGGGCACGCAACAAAACCTCCCACTTCCCACGCACGTACCCGAGGAGAAAAAGATTACCGTGGCGGTGTGGGCGAGGAGGACAGAACCTCCTCTGCTCGCATACATAGCTTCTCTCCTGGCCTCTTCTGCTTCACATGTCACGTCCTCTTTAAGCCCATTGAAGATCGCCCCCGGACCCCAACCACCGGGGCTAGGACGGACCGGAGCCCGACGTCGTCGAGTGTGGTTTCGTGAGCACGGCCGTTCTCGATCCTGCCTCCCCGCTGCCGGTTCAACGGGGCATTGAAGCGGGCGCGCCGGACGTGGACGGGCATACGGACATGCCCGGAGCCCCGTGATCTCGGGGAAAGGTGGCGGGTGACGGAATGGTACCCTCTCGACTCTCGAGCCTCGATGGCAGCTGCAAATGTGCCCAAATGCGATCGCCTTCTCCGAGTCGGCTGTCGGTACTTCGAGGCGCTCGTTTTGTCGTGCCATGGTCCGGCCCGATGTCTTTGTGACCCGGGTACGGCTGGCCATTTTCTTCCTCCTGGTGAATGGATGGATCGTGGATGGATGGACAGCTTTGCTTTCGGTACGTACGCCCCTTTTGAAAAGTTTGTGGTTTTGGGATGTAGATCGATGGTGGAGATTAAACCGAGTCTATGAGTTTTAAGGCATAACATGGTCGTCGAGCTCTCGTTTGACACGCGCCTCTTTGCTTCTTTGAGTCTAGCTTCTCCCTCTCAATTTTGTAACTTGTTGTCATCCTCTCTAGGTTTCAGTCTATTCTTTTTTTTGTGTGTGTGCATCCAACGTGAGCTTGTACTTCCTCCGTTTCAAATTACTCGTCACTAAAATGGATGTATCTAGAACTAAAATACATCTAATTCGAAACGGAGGGAGTACCTTTCTTCTTTCTTTTTCTTTCTTCTGGAAAAAATGTTCGCCCATGTGGCGGACATTGTAGTCGCCGCGGTGTCACGAGAGGCCTCCACTTCTCCCACTTGTTTTCTATCACTTGGTGGTTCTTCGAGACTGTTTGGTCGCCAGCCTTACCTTGCGACGCCAAAGGTGCGGTGCACCACAGCTCCTAGGCAACTGTTTGGTTGCTGACAAAGGTTAGGCTCGCCACATACGCAAAGTGTCTTCTGCAGTAGAATTTTTCGCCACAAGGTGCCGCTGGTTTTGCCCGCCACACTATTTGGCGTGCCGCAAGTGTGGCATTTTGAGTCTTCAACCAAACAACCATTCATTGGCATGATGGCTCGTCAATCCTCCCCCACAACTCTTTTCTCTTCGTCATCCAATTGAATTGGGAGCTTGAGTCGTCATTTTTCTTCAACCTCTTTTTATCATTCTTGAGGTCATCCACAAGGTGTTGCCACTTTGGTTTGCGATTCAATTTTATCCAACAATGACTTAAATTCAATGGCTTCTTCTTGGTTTGTTCGTATAAAGTATATGCTCATGGTTGTCCGCGCCCTTTGGAGTAGCGGTGAGTCACACACCGTCTTCGGTACCTTCGGTTGCGTCCAGTCGTCTAGAATCCCTCCCCATTTGAACGACTAGATGTTGTTGGTCACGGGTGGGGTGGAACTTGTTGGCGGTAGGTAGGACGGCGCAAGGCTGCCGGCCAGCAACACATCCACGTCGATGTCAGTCACTTCCTTGGCAGCAACTTCCTTCGTTGTCGCCTCCCACTCGCACTAGCGGGCACGTCGCGCCCTCCGAGCGACGTTCTTGTTGGGTAACGTAGCATGCAATTTCAAAAAAAATTCCTACGCTCACGCAAGATCTATCTAGGAGATGCATAGCAACGAGGGAGAGAGTGTCTCTACCTACCCTCGTAGACCATAAGCGGAAGCGTTTCACAACACGGTTGATGTAGTCGAACTTTCTTTGCGATCCACCGATCGAGTACCGAACGTATGGCACCTCCGAGTTTTGCACACATTCAGCTCAGTGACGTCCCTAGCCTTCTTGATCCAGCAAGATCTAGAGGTAGTAGATGAGTTCCTTCAGCACGACGGCGTGGTGACGGTGACGGTGAAGTGATCTCCGCAGGGCTTTGCCTAAGCACTACGAAGTTATGACCGGAGGCATAAACTGTGGAGGGAGGTGCAACACACGGCTAAGATAATGTCTAGGATGTGCTAGGCGCCCCCTCCCACATATATATAGGTGGGGGTGAAGGGAGCAGCCAGGGGGCGCCCCAAGTAGGATCCGAATCCTACTTGGGGTTTCCCCAAGTGGCCCACCCTGCCTTTTTTCATCGGAGAAGAAAAGGGAAGGGGAAGAGAGAAAGGAAAGGGGGGCCGAACCCCCTTTTTCCTTCTCTCAATTCGGCCTCCTGCCATAGGGGGACGCGCCACCCCTTTTGGGCTGGTGTGCTTCCGCCTCATGGCCCATATGGCCCATATCTTCCCCGGGGGGGGGGGGGGTTCCGGTAACCCCTCCGGTACTCCGATAAATACCCGATACACTTCGGAACACTTCCGGTGTCCGAATACCATCGTCCTATATATCAATCTTTACCTCTCGACCATTTTGAGACTCCTCGTCATGTCTGTGATCACATCCAGGACTCCGAGCAACATTCGGTCACCAAATCACATAACTCATATAATACTATATCGGCAACGAAT